AAGAAATGGAAGATAGCAGATGAGAGATCAGTCAAGAAGTGAGATATCTTGAGGACCTGATGTAGGACAAAGAGAAGGTACAAATAGAAGGGGATCTATAGAAGCTCTTTAGTAAGTAAAATTAGCAAGATTGGCTGAAACTCATCTGTCCTGATTTTGAAATATGTCTGCAAAGTTTTGGTGCTACTCCTTTCAAAACATAGAGCCTAATTACCCTTCTCCCGAACGTATGCCAGACCTAGGGACTCTTTTCTAATGAATAGAATGTGACGGAAGTTATGGTATGTGGCTTCCCAGGCAAGGTCATAAAGAACATAGCTTCCTCCTGACTCTCCTTTTGCTCTGGAAGAAGCCAGCCACTGTGTCATAAGAATACTCAAGCAGCCCGAGGACAATTCTATGCGAAGGGGAACTGAGGCCTCTCCCAAACAGCCACCACCAGTTTGCCAGCAATGCGAGTGAGCCACCTTGGAACCAGATCCAACACCATCATTGAAGCCTTCAGGTGACTGTAATCCTGGTCAACATCTTGACTACAATCTAATGAGAGACCCTGAGCCAGAATCCCTCAGCCAAGCTGTTTCCATATTTCTGAATCCAAGAAGTTGAGAGAAACAAATGTTTATTGTTACTTTCAGCCACTGATTATGGGGATAATTTATGACATAGCAATAGATAATATATCATCAACTGAAATGAAAATGCAGGAGGAGAAAAAATTGGAGGGGAAGGTGCTAAGTGCAGCGTTGGCCATGCTGATTTTGAAGGTCCTTTGGGAGAGCCAAATGAATATGTCGAGTAGAACTTAGACACTCTCCCCTAGTCTGGTACTTGGGGCGAGGCCAGAGATTAAACCAGTATTCCTTGAGGTACTTATCTGTTCTAATGTATGGTTTTCAAGCTGTCTTCAAGTCCATTTCTATTTTAGTGGGGATATCTTCATTTACAGCCAGTTGTTTGCCCTTACTCTTGGCTTCTATATCCATTGGCATCTAACATCTCCTAGATCAGCAAATAACTGTTACATAAAAGAAACATTTCTAAAAGAAGAGAACTTGCAGAGATAAGACTTCCAGCTTTTTGGCTTATGTTCAAACCCCCGGTAGAGAAACAAGGCTCTCAACCAACAACCAATGTACCTGGAAGCTAGAAAATGCTTCCGCTGAGAGCCAAACTACAGACACTATCAGTAAGTTGTAGGAATTCAAACCCCAGGGTTTGATAATATTTTACTCAGATACTCTATATGTATTTAAATGCAATGTCCTCAAGCTGGAATTTGTGTGGATATGTGCAGTAGATAAGACCGGTGAGGTTGGTGAGGTGTCCAAATATATGCATACCAAAGATAGAAAATGCCACTAGGCTGTTATATTCCTAGGCTCAGCTTCTAGCTTCTAGAATAAATATGTCCCTAGCACCATACTTTGAAATTTAGCAGATTTGCTCTCTGCCAACGTTGAGAGCACTGAAGTAAAAAAATATATAGTTAAATATTTATATATTAACAAGGAACATCTACAGAAAATATACTCACTCTAGTTCGTAGGAGATTGAATTTGGAGGTCATAAGAAAAACATGTATCTCAAGTGCCATCATGGATTCTGGAAAATACAAGTGTCAAATACAATTTTAAAAATTAGAATTACCCTTTTAAGTCTTTAAAAAATGGACACATGTAGCCTTTTATGTTTAAATGTCCAAACATTTAATAAATCGTCACTATTCATAAAGCATCATGGTAGGCTCTGTGGATGTGATGTTGATAACACAAAATACGCACTCCTTGAGTTGCTGATGATCAACATATTGAAATGTGTCACCTTTTCCTAGTATTAAGGGAACTAAGTTTTTCACAAAATTAAACACACAAAAACACATAAAATTTCAAAGAAAAACTGAGTCGCTCCTGTCTGTGTCAGACGTAATGAGTTCTGGTATTCCCCTTAACACCTATAAACTGTTCTACCAAGTTTAGAACAATAACCATATGCAGCTTCACATATCTTTAAGCTTTCTTATTTGCCATTCTCTCCCCGAACCAGTATAATTTCTCCTTTCCTCCTGTCTGATTTTCTCTTCTAAAAATCCAAGAAAATCATTAGGAAATTCTTAAAAGACTGTTTCATCCTGGATAAAGGGTTAAGTCTACTCTGTGGCTTTCAAGGGTGTGTGTCGTGAGCAGGATTTCACTTACTTAGCAGACCCTAAAGCTAGAGTATCCTTTTAATACTGAAAACACAGAGTGGAAATTTAATTCCTCACCATAGTGGGCAATAGATGTGGTCAGCAAGGAGAACACCAGCCTGTCTTTAATTAGTTATTGTCAAAAAGAGCATGGAGATCTTACTATCCAAAATTTGATGCTAACAGAGCCTACTTTATCCTAAGAACTGCCATTGAATCAGGACAGGATCATCCCATTTGACTTTAATTTTCCTTAGTAGGAAAATTAATAAACAACAGCAAAATGTTCCTGAAGTCCTTTTAGAAGCTTTGGAAGACTGTATCCTGAGCAGCTAAATGGGCGGCTTGCAGGGCTGTCCAAGAAGGGTAGAACTGACAGCTCCCTAATCCATTCAGACAGAACTCCTATGAGAGTGAATCATAAAAAGACAAAATACCCACAACACATGCTCACTAGGGCATCTCTCCCTTACAACCCACCCTCGCTTCCCCCAACACCCAACAATACACACATAGCACTACATGGAATTTTGGGTGGATTGCAAAATGGTTTAAAGTCTAAATCCATAGATAGCAAACAGCAAAGGCAATCATCCCTAACAGCCCTCAAACATGCCAGATGGGAAGTGCTTTCAGAGAGAACTACATGAGAATGTTTTTTTAAAATATTTGTGTTCTGATAGGATTGTTTTTATGATTGTGTACCCAATTTCCTCCAAAACACTCTCCTGAGGTACTTTTTGAAGACTAGAGGATAATAAAGGGTTCTTGTGTTTATTAGAGAAAAACGTATTGAAAGGATCTGAAAGAGGGAGTTTTCATGTTTGAAGGATAATAAGCATTCAAAAAACAAAACCTCTGTGATATTCATAGATTGTCCAAAGATTTTTATTTGTTTTATCCCCTGGAAAAGACAAAATTTAAGCTACACAACGAAGATTTTCTTGGGCATTATAAATAATGAAGTTTATTATCATTTCTATTTTGTCATTCCTTTCCATAATTGCATTATAACTATGCAACTTACAAATATATCTATTTTCAGAAAACAGAAGCTGTGCTTGTGCAGCTGGTTATTTTTATAAGTACTTCATGTTCTGGAGAAGTGCTGTGACTTGTTCTTAATTCATGTGAAAAAAGGATAAGTGTGTTAAAAGTGTTTGCTCTCTGTTCTCAAATAAGTGGTGAGGCACTGCATGTTGAAACTCCTGACAGAAACGAAGGGCTGAAGGGGCCTTGCTGGCACTGAGGTCACAGTTCAAGCAGGTGCCATTGCATTATGCTCTGAGACTGTAAAGGTACAGTAGAATCACATGAGTAATCGTATTTGTTGTCTTAAATCAATGAATAACACTTTTGTTAATTATTTGTTGAGTCTTGCTTTTGGTTTTGCACAGAACTTTAGCTTTGGAACGATTTTGAGACAGAAAACAGCACCACACCCTCATTATGCCATAACTCCTTTCTAACTCAATTTCTGGAACATTATTTATATAAGTAGACTTTACTTATTAGCCTCATTAGCAATGAAGTAATCTTATTTGTTATCCAAAGTTAAACATGACGTACTTTTGGCTTTTTGTCAATTTTAGATGAGACAAAAAATTTTGCCATATATCTAAAATGTTTTACATGACATAAGCTACTTTATTTTTCTTTGTACTATGCTCTATTATTTCTGTACACACAATAAATAGATAGACTCTTCGGTAATAGAACATATGAAAGTAGAAGAGAGACTAGAGGATGGGATTGTCAAAGAGGATGGCATGAAATGGATTGGGTGGATTGATACACCACTTTAATATTTTAATTTTGTTTCAAGAAGTCTTCAGTAGGGTAGGAATTGATCAGCATATTTAACAGAACTTTGAAGAGAAAAGTCTACCATGGCATGATCAATTAAGCAAAAGTCTAAGAGTTGATTACTGAGGAGCAGAAGTTGAAAGAATTGGAGAGACTGGACAGAAGAAGGCACACCGGCTACACTATACTAGGAAGAGTTACACTGCTCCAATTATTCAACAATGTTTATCAAATACCAACCATCTGCAAAGTACCATTCTTCATGTTCTATGCCTTAAAGTCCAGGTTATAAGAAGGAATAAAAACTGAGCAGTTATTAAGTACTCTTATGTACATATTATTTAGTTTTACAGCAACCATCTAAAGTAAATGTTGATGTTAAAGTAAATGTTGATGATAAATGAACCTTTTTCCATAGGTTCAGAGAAATATGGTAACCTGTTCTAGGTAAAACCCATACATAAAACAATAAATTTTGGATCTGTGATTTGAACAAGTTCTTCTTCAAAAATCCACACAATTTAACAATGAGTTAATCAATGAGCCAAATTTACAAATACTCTATAGAATAACCAACATTTGTACCCAAAATTTAATAACACCTAATTGTTTTTTTCAAACACAATCTTGTGCATCTAATGATACAAAGATAAAAATTTTATCTAATATTGAACATGTCCACTGTTTAATATTTTTTCTTTTATGGAAGATATGAAATCCATGGTAAGAATAACAGATATGTGAATTTATAAATGTTTTCATTTATTCTATGAAGGTTTTTTTTTTTCCTTTTTCTCCCCAAAGCCCCCCAGTGCATAGTTGTATTATATTCTTTGTTGTGGGTCCTTCTAGTTGTGGCATGTGGGATGCTGCCTCAGTGTGGTTTGATGAGCAGTGCCATGTCCGCGCCCAGGATTCGAACCAACGAAACACTGGGCTGTCTGCAGCGGAGCGCTCGAACTCGGCCACGGGGCCAGCCCCTATGAAGGTATTTAATATCTAACTTAAGCTTCATTCTGTCTAACGCTTTATCCAGCTACTAGCAGGGAAATTCAGAAAATTTCAGAGTTATCTAAGTTATCTTGGCTATAAAACTTGAACTTTTTCAAGACTTTCCCCAGGGTTGATGTTAAACTATTCAACTCTGAGTAGGGGAGTAAAAAGGTTTATGCAAATAGTACTGAGTCATAGTTAAGGGAGGGTTATCTACCTCTAAGTCATGAAATAATGTTTAATGGATCTAATGCTGGCCCTTGCTCTAGATGTAACTTGTCCCATTTCGTATTTAGTCATGTCCCAATCCTTCTTGGCAATTGGCTAAGAGTGAGCCTGGTGAGACTTGCACCTAGGAACTTTGCAGTGACTTTCCATGTCACGCTGGACAAAGAGAAACTTGGGGGGATTGTCTTTGACTCTCTCGTGCCTAGATAGGCCATGATACCTGTTTTAGTCCGTTCAGGTTGCTATAACACGGTACCAGAAACTGGATGGCTTATAAACAACAGATATTTATTTCTTCCAGTTCTAGAGACTGAAAGTCCAAGATCAGGGTGCCTGTTTGGTTGTGTTCTGTGTTCTGGTGAAGGTCCTTTTCCGGTTGCAGATTCCTGACAAGTCCACTGTGTCCTCACATGGTGGAAGGGGCTAGGGAGCTTTCGCAGGCCACTTCTATGAGGGCACTTCCCATTCATGAGGGCTCTGCCCTCATTACTTAGTCACTTTCCAAAGACTTCACTCATAACACCATAATCTTGGGGTTAGATTTCAACATGTAAATTTTGGGGGGACACAAACATTCAGACCATAGCAACACCCATTGCATTCTGTGGCTAAGACACCATGAAAACATATGGGAATTTCCTCTGAAGCTTGTGATTTCCTTAGTCTCCAACTAGGAAATGGGACACAGATTCTTTTAAGTTTCAGATCTCCAGATTTAAAAAGCATATTACGTAATTTCATCCTCCCTTTCAGACTTAACCTGTGGGTGAAGGTAGCTGTTGAAGAGAAGATGTAGGCTGTCTGTCCCTAACTCCATAGAATATTTTTCTTCTTCTTTCCTTCTCCGAATAGAAGGTATTTTATATAATATGGGAAGGGGAGTGAGACACGCTGGTCCTTGCTGACCCAGGTCATTTGAGCTTAAAGAGTAAATTTGCCACCTTTGTTCTCTTGTCTGTTTTGACAACTCCACCTCCCAGGCCCAAGGCAATGGTAGCTCTAAGAGCCAAATCTAAGAGGGGGAAAGTCACAGGTTTTAAGAGTGTGTGAGAGAAGAAATAAACACCTGGAATCAAGTTATATTTCTACCGCCAGTTTTCTCTAGAAACTCGATGCTTATACTCAATCAAGAATACAGATACTAGTGAATTTTAAACACAATTTTAAATGAGGATTACTATATCCCATGCACCTGAATGGAAAGAGAAATATTTGATCGGTTGCTCAGATGTTTCCAGATATTTAGTATTATGTATACAATAAAAATGCCTGAATTTGTCCCATTCTGGGGACTGTTTGGAAGACTGTGTATACCAATTGTATAGAATAGATTATTTTTAATTTTGAAACCAGTGGAGAAATGAACAGCATCCTCGAAGGAACCAGGAGGGTGGGGAAAAATAATAATTTGTGAGAAATTAAAAAATATATATGGACATTTTTGTCTTCCATGATTCATTCTACCTAATGCATTTTTAAATTTGGCTGTGATATTTAATTTAATGTAGTAATCTTATAAAGACAAATATGATGCTGGGCTTTTCCTATGAGTCAGAACCATTTTTTCGTACCTAAGTGCTTGTGGTTACTTATTTTAGATGTAAGCATCAGGGACCGCCAGGTGGCCCAGTGATTAAGTTCACATGTCCTGCTTCAGCAGCCTGGGGTTCACCGATTTGGATCCCAGGTGTGGACCTATGCACTGCTTGTCAAGCCATGCTGTGGAAGGCGTCCCACATATAAAGTAGAGAAGATGGGCACAGATGTTAGCTCAGGGCCAGTCTTCCTCAAAAAAAAGAAAAGAAAAGAAAATCAGAAAATGTCCAAAAGTACATAAATTTTCTAATCATTTGCTTCATTTTTATTAAATTAGATTTTTCTAAAAGGCCTGATGATACACAAGCCTCAAAGAGGTCATATACCAGAGAAAGTCAATAAAGCCTTGATAACCTAATCACTTGCATCTTAAATTTCTGCAAACTTCTTGTGTAGTAAGTATTTTGACCAACACACATTTTTTGTTTTATAAGACCTGCAATCTTTTTTAGGGGACAGAGTATTTTTTAGACAAAAATGGTTTATGTCATAATCAATTACTCAGCACAGCTTTAAAACGGTTATTTATAAATTGCTTAATATGGTTGCCTTGTTTAATGGTTATTTTCATTATTTATTAGATTAGTGCTGTAAACACAGTATTGATCCAAAGGGCAATGCTTTTCATAAAATATATCTAACCATAAAATTGGCTGTAAAGTTGAAATATAAAAACTCTTAGATCAGTTTCATCATCCCTTTAGAAACGTGGAAATATTTGTGCTTCTGAGCTATAGACACGGGAGAGTTTAAATATTAAACGTACATGTTGCAAAACATTGTCATCATTAGGGGCAGTTATTCTATTGAATGTATTTTAATTCTGCACTTTTTAGAAAAGTATTTTAATTTAGAGTATTCTGTTTAATAAAAAATCATTTCATATATGCAAAGGATATATTGAATTGCACTGCTTGAAATTATTTTGCCCAATACTCTTGAATTTGTGAATGCTGAGACTCAGAGCTTGAAAACTTACCCAAAGCATCATAATGTGTAATTAACTAATTTCATATTTTTTTCCACTTTACATACATCCTGTTATACCTACCTACATGCACAGGCAATTTGATACAGTTTTTTAAATTGCTTATTTTAATGGTAAGTTCTTATACTATTTGTCTTCGTTTGAATGAAGTTTCCTTCCTAGCATAATTTGTTCTGTGTATCAAATCACCATAAAAGTATTGTAATGAACATACCTGTACCTCTTTGGTCTATGAAGGATTCTGAGTACCTATAAAATTTGCATCATATCCAAAATATCACCTGCATGGACCTCTTTCTTTCCATTCCCACTGCTAGCTTAGTGCTGACCCTCTTAACTTCTCGTCTGCATACTGCAATGGTCACCTGAACTGATCCTCCTCTTCAATCAATACTGCACACCACTGCTAGAGTTATGGCCATTCCCCTGCTGTAAAACATTCACGTCCTATTGCTTGGAATAAATAATAAGTTACTTAGCCCAGCATTTAAAGCTCCCCATTGTATGACCCCCTACCTATATTTCAACCCTCTACTTACACTCTCATGGGTGGTTTTTGCCATTCCCGATTTTTAGCCAGTATGTTCTTCCTATTGGTCTTGACTCAAGTTTTCTCCTTCATCTGAAGTGGTGTAATAGACTCACAATTCAGACTAAATCTCACTGCCCAACAAACCAGTCACAGACGTCACTATGCAGAACTCATCTCTTCTATACTGTCATAAGATGGCTTAAATGTTAATCGTAGCACATTTTACATTCTACTAAATTTACTCATGTATACCTGTCTTTCTTCCTAGAATAACAGCACATGGAGGCAAGAGAAAAATTCCATTTTATTTCTGTTAGTCTACAGTGTCTTCAACAAATGTGTGCCAGTTGATTTGACTGAAAACTTGGGGGATTTTTAAGTAAGTTACCTTATGCTTATTCTTACCTCCTTAAATGTTATATCAAATAATTTATTTTTCTAGATGACTCAGGGTAAAACTTACTAACATTATTATATTGGGTTATAATGCCCTCAGGAACCACTAAGGCATGTCAAGTTTTTTTGTCTGTAAATAGCTACAAACTGCAGAGATTTGATTCAGGAAGTTCTATATCCTTTGACTCTTTATGCCAGCAGCTTTATCTTAATTGCCTGGGGGTAAGCCTGAAGGTGTTTCTCTCTCTCTTACAGAATAAACATCAAGCTCTTTGTAGCAGCAGTGCCCTTCTTGGCTGCTGGATGTTCCAGAAATGCTATATAGTACTGGTTCCAGAGATTAGACATTTTCTCTACAAGAAATAAGAAAGAAGTGTGGGCAAGAAAAGTTGGAATTTGGTTTTTGATAGCTCCACTTCTCATTGGGATGGATGGACTCATTTTCAGAGAATAGGGGAGACTGGCCTGAAGGCTAGTGCTCTCAGGAGTGAGGTATCAGCATGTCACAGTGTGGCGCATTCCCTCACCCCTCCTCCACGTGTACAGAAATGGAGTGGAACTTCTTTCTGGTGGTGAACACCCTGGGCCAGGAGCCTAGTGATTATTGCTTCCTTCTGAATAGAAACGGAAATTGTTTTACCACTGTTTCGTTGGTTGAAAGGTCTTGGACATTAGGTCAGTGACACCCTCCAGGGAGGTAAAATATAGCAAGGGCAAAAATCCAATGCCAGCTAAGGGAACAAGGATTTGATTTCCTCTGGGAACTTCCAATTGCCTTCCATTCCTCCCTCTCCCCGCCTTCTCCAGCTTATAACTTCTGGATTCAATAATAGCTACTGTTCATTCTTTTTGGCTTTTCCTGTACTTTTCCAAACAGCCTCAGTTTTTCCAAGTAGATGTCTCTTCCTTCCTTGAATGTTAAAAGATGTATTGATTTCATCTGAGCAATCAGAGTAGTACAACAATATTTTTGCTTTAGGTTTCTGATGAAATTTGTATTTAAGACCTCTTAGTTTTTTCTCATGAAGAAAAATCATTCCAGGTGGCATTTAGGAGCACATGAAGCATATTCACAGGAGGAAAGAAAGAAGCCTGTTTGTCCTCCTGCTTTTCCTCCTGGAGCTCAGCTCAGGTTTGGCTGCCAGAAGGAAATGCTTCTCAGAGCAATTTTTGTGTGGTCTAAGATTTGAGGTCAGGCACTGCCTTTCTGCTTCTTCAAAAAATATTTTCTGTATAAGTGATTACAAGTCCAGAAATCTAGAAATTTGTTCTTGTTTTGCTTTTGTTGCCAACACATAGTGACCTTAAATAAGTCACTAATAATTGAGCCTCAGTTTCCGTCTTTGTCAAATGGAGATAACAATCACTGGCCTCCTGCCTCATGGCCTTGATGTAGAGGTCAAGTGAGATTGTAAAGAAAAACACAGAAATCTCTAGAACATCACATATAATACGACAATTTAAGAGGCTATACTTTGTAAACTCTAAGGAGATATATAAAAGCAATTATGCTTCCTGATTATAATTGCTCCTTAGGCGTACTGAGAACATTGGCTAACCTGCAGGCTTAGGAAGAGCAATACTGCACACATATGGTTGCTGCTTTTCTGTTCTTACTAGACCACACTCCTTTTTTGCATGCCCTTCCAGCAGGCTTCCTTCTCACAATGGCTCAGTTTCTTGTCTGCAGCCATAAAACCAAGACTTTCATAACTTAAGTGCAAATGCTTAAGTTCAATAAATATAGGAACATTCCTGGAAACTCATCCAAAATATCTTTATTGCCTTCATCCCCTGGAACCCAAAGGCCCTCATATTATTTTGAGAGATATGTCCTAGGAAGATGGGGCTTACTTAAAGCTCATATGGGATGCAAATCAATGAGGGAGAGAAAAAGTCACCTTCTTATATCTCCCTAGTTGGACCACCACAAATTATTCTCTTGGAACATTACAGTGTGAGAAAATCTGTGAGGGCTTAAAGTTCATCTTGCTTTAGCTTCTTTATAGCTAAATAACCTTCATATGTATAGAAAGCCTGATATTTTCCTGTTAAATTTTGGCCTGAAGAGATATAACTGGCTCCCTACCATGTGGTAGTGCCAAAGCAAGGTCAAGAGAACTAAGCAAACAAAAACTTTGACGTGAATATTGTTTCATCTTTTTCCCAACCCCACATCAAAATTGTCACTTATACAAGGCAAGTCCCATGAACACTCATCTGATTTTGAATTGGCCTGGAGGATAGTCATTCCAGAACCCATTGACACTGGCATCGTTGTTTCCTCCATTGAAAGCACTTCAAAGGTTTGTCACACTGCTTCAGATCCATTTTCATCCAGAAGGTATAGTATTACTGTGATTAGTGTTTTGTATCTTCTCATTTGAGTACAAAAAACAAAAAACCCTATTAGGTAGATTGTATTTTTCACTTTTCAAATTAAAGTAATTTTAAGTAAATCAAGGCTATAAATCAAGAAACGTACTTAGTGTTCATCCAAAAGCAACAGGATGCACATACTTCTCAAGCACACATAGAACATTCTCCAGGATAGATCAGATGTTAGGCCAAAACAAATCTTAATAAACTTAAGAAGACTGAAATCATACCAAGCGTCTTTTCTGACCACAATGGTATGAAATTAGAAATCAATTGCAAGAAGAAAAATGGAAAATTAACAAGTACGTGGAGATCAAGCAACATGCTACTGAGCAACTAATGCATAAAAGGAGAAATCAAAAGAGAAATCAAAAAGTATCTTGAGAAAAAATGAAAATGGAAACATAACATACCAAAGTTTACGGGATACAGCAAAAGAGAGATGTTCATAGAAATAAATGCTTACATCAAGAAACAAGAAAGTTCTCAACCTCATTGTACACCTCAAGGAACCAGAAAATAGAATAAAATAAGCCCAACGTTAGAAGAACAAAGGAAACAAAGATCAGAGTAGAAACAAGTGAAATAGAGACTAAAAACAAAACAGAAAAGATAAAACTAATAGCTGGTTTTTTGAAAAGATAAGCAAAATTGACACATCTTTAGCTAGACTCACCAAGAAAAAACAGGAGCCAATAAAATCATAAATGAAAGTGAAAATATTACAACTGATTATTTACAATAGCCATTGTTTACAGTAGCCGAGACATGGAAGCAACCTAAATGTCCATTGATAGATGAATGGATAAAGAAGAATGTAGTATATAAATGTATTATTCAGCTGTTAAAAAGAAGGAAATCTTGCCATTTGTGACAACATTGATGGACCTTGAAGGCATCCTGCTGAGTGAATAAGTCAGACAGAAAAAGACAAATACTATATGGGCTCACTTATACAGGGAGTCTGAAAAAATCCCCTGAACTCTTGGATACAGAGAACAGATTGGTGGTTGCCAGAGGAAGGGTGTAGGGGGTGGGTGAAATGGGTGAAAATGATGAAAAGGTACAAACTTCCAGTCATAAAATAAATAAGTCCTGGGGACGTAATGTACTGCATGGGAACTACTGTTAATAATACTGTATTGTACATTTGAAAGTTGTTAAGAGAAAAGATCTTAAAAGTTCTCATCACAAGAAAAAAAATTTGTAACTATGTATGGTGATGGATGCTAACTAGACTTGTTGTGGTGATCATTTCACAATATATACAAATATCAAATCATTTTGTTGTACATCTGGAACTAATATAATGTTATATGTCAGTTATATCCCAATTAAAGAGATGTAATTAAGAGTCACAACTAATAAAAGATAGAAGTTAAGTCCATGCTTTTTGCATAATGTTACAGTTCCTCTCTTTATTAACCAGTGAGTGATGCTTGTAAGTAGCGTATACCCACATGGTTGGTCCCATTATATAGGGAAATTACAATTTCAGTGGTACACTCAGCACTATTGAATTCTATTTTGCTCCCATGTTTACTTTGTATTTCATCTTGAGTTGGAGCTATCCTGAAATGGTTCACTCTTTCCATGTTCTGATCACACTTCTGACTCCAAAGATATCTCAAGAGGTTAATGCATATAGGGTAACACTGTGACAAATAAAAAAAATTGTTTTTTTAATTATTTCTTCATCTCCTTTATTTCTCAGGCACCAATGTCTCTTTATCCTTGCTGTTTTGTCTCCACAATGACTGACTACTATCTTTTAGACTCCTCTCTGGGGTCTCCTTGCCTCCAATTCAATCTGTTCTAATCTACCATTCAACAATTCTTTGCTGCCTAAACAAATCTCTGCCATGGCTTTGAAGTTCTATATTCTGACCCTCAACATCTATCCTGACCTCATTTCTTTCCATATCACTCCATATACCCTATCCTACAACTGTCTCACCTCATGTCTAATCACCTTGGTCCCTGAGCCTGAATATTTCTCCCCTTCTGCTCACTCTATTGAAACACTTCCAGACCACCTCAAACATCACAGCCTCTCTTATTCCTTCTATTTAGAAATAATTGTTCTTTTCCTAAAATATAACAGCCTATTCATTGCAACTATTTTAGTACTTATTTAGTTGTAATTTGTGTTTAAAGTTAGGTGCTTATACGCCTGCCTTTCCCACTGTATAGTAAATTCATTGAGAAGATTGAAGAATTAGCTGTAACTTATTGCCAGGAGTTCAGTTGCCAATCCAGATCAACTTGGTTTGAACCCCAGCCCTGCCACTTATTATTTGTATATCTATAGGCAAATTGATTAAGCTTTCTAGGCCTCATTTTCATTTTCTGTTTTGGAAAATTAGAATTATATTATCCACCTTTCAGATTTATTGTAATAATTAAATGATACTCAAAGAGCATCCACACTTAGGAGTCTGTATTCAAAGCTTGTTGAATTGAGAGCAAATGATAGCAGTAATGAGAGGCAAGGGCATTCTAGGTGAAAAGAAAAAGTGCAGGTACCTAGAGAGGAATAGGCTGGCCTGAGAACACTTAACAGACTTTTTTGACCAGAACAGAGTGCTTGTGAACAGTGGACAAGTAGCTTACATAATTTATGTGAGGTCATGTTGTTGAAGCCAGGTTGAGTTTAGGCTTAATGTTGTAGAGATTCTTTTGAAGATAAGAAGGGTATAATTTGGGATTTGATAAGGATCATTTGATTGTTATACATTGAATACAATGGGAAAGACAGAATCTAAAGTCAGAAAAGTCAACTAGTGGGTGGTTGAAGTAAATCAGGCATAAAGTGGAGGAGGCCCCAAAAGGGTGAGCATTTGGAGATCAATGGGTAATATCCATTGTGTTAATAATTGCTTACTTTCATTTGCTCTAGATTTAACCTTTCCTAGGTAGCTTCAAGGTGTGTCTACATGTTGTACTTTCTAATCTAGGCATGTACTAATGCTTTGTTCACTCTAATAACACCCTTTTTCTGCAGACTGGAATTTTCCCTTGTCGCAGTCGATATCATTATAAATTGAAGGGTCACATATGTGATAACCTCTCTTCAAATGGCTCCTTCTACTTTTTTCCAAATTAGTTTTTCTTCTTCCAGCTGTTTACAAGATTAGATACTGTCTATGATATATAGGAGGGAAATTAAAATACTATTGTGAGAAACAGTGGTTAAGTATTGTTTGCTTTCAATTTTTCCTAATTTAATCATCCATTTGACAAAGTTTTATTAAATGCTTATCATGAGCCAAGCATTGTTGTGATCACTAAAAAAGAAAAAAAAAAAGCTAATGAAATACTCTTATGGAAGAGGTCTGTCAGAAAATTCTTTAGGATTTTCCTTATCCAAATTATTTATAAATATGTCTGATTTTCTCAAGCAATAATACCAGGATACCTTAATCTCAACTTCAGTCTCCTAATTTTCCCTTTGTTTTGTTTCCTATCTGTTAGAATTTTTCTGATAAAATATGTTCTCACGCAAATTATCATTGTATCTCAGATGTTTAGAACTTTTAGGTATGGAAGTATACAAGAGGGTATATGAAAGCCTGAATCAATTATAATCATTGCTTCTCCCTTTTCCACATGTGATTTAGGTGGCAGAAAACAGTCCGCCTTCCTAGGGGGATGAGATTGAGTCAATGCTTTTAGCATAAATCATAGTGGACTGAGAAGGTAGACAATGGTTTTTAAATTATAATCAGAGATACTCAAGCTTGAATTCACACTCTGTCACTTTCAGAGTTTGTGACCTTGAGCAAGTTTCCTAAACATTCCCAAAGCTCAGAATTCTCATCTGTAAAACTGGAGTACTTACCCCAAAGGGCTGAAATATGATTAAACAAGATAATTTATCTAGAGTGTCATCCAATACCTAGCACATGATGGGCACCAAAAGGTACCTATTTTTATTATTAATATTTCAATTTTTGAGACCAATTTAGTTGAAGTCAATAAGCATTAAGAACATTAAGGAAATCCTGCCGTATGGGGCAACATGGATGAACCAGGGAGATATTACTCTAAGTGAAATAAGCCAGAGACAGAAGGACAAATATTGCATGATTCCACTTATATGAGGTATCTAAAGTGTCAGACTTAACAGAAACAGAGAGTAGAATGGTTCTTTTCAGGGGTTGAGGGGAGGGGGAAATGGGGAGTTGTTGTTCAATGGTTATAAGTTTCAGTTATGCAATATGAGTAAGTTCTAGAAATCTGCTGTACAACATAGTGCCTATAGTTAACAATACTGTACTGTGCACTTCATTTGTTAAGAGGGTAGACCTCATGTTAAGAGTCCTTACCACAAAAGACAAAAGAAAACAAAAGGGCACCAGGACATTTTTGGAGGTGATGGATATGTTTATTACTTGGTTCTGGTGATGGTTTCACAGGTGTATGCATATGTCCAAACTCAAATTGTATACATTAAATATGTGCACTGTTTTGTGTATCAATTGTAACTCATTAGAGCTGTTAAGAAATAAAAGAACATTAATATGTTCCAGGCTTTATGGTGAAGTGGGAGGAAAAATGGACAAGATATAACCCAGCTTTTGTGAAGTTCCAATGTCTAGTGGAAGAGACACATTATAGTCTGTATTGTAAACTCTCTAACCTTAGTGACTGGGTCTGGTTTTATTTATCATCAATTCTCAGTGCTGGTCATAGTGCCTGAAACATTTTTCAGTGGAGCCCATTGAGAGAGTGCTGGAAGGAGTAGTGGTGTGTACTCTTATAACGTCTGCTGGTTTAAAATATAAAACATCAAAATTTGGAAAATTTTAAGTGAAGAGGAAAAAGAGATGTATGTAAAAAATATTTCAAATGTGATAGTCCTTAAAGTTTCTTTTAAAATAGAAACTCAGGATACACAGTGTCTTGTTTAATATATTCTACCAGGTGAGCGCCACATAGCATTGTTCATTTTCTCCTATAAAATTCACTGTCCTGGGGGCTGAACCAGTGGCACAGCAGTTAAGTTTGTATGTTCTGCTTCTCAGCATCACAGGGTTCACCGGTTCGGATTCCAGGTGTGGACATGGCACCAGTTGGCAAAGCCATGCTGTGGTAGGTGTCCCCCATATAAGGTAGAGGAAGATGGGCACGGATGTTAGCTCAGGGCCAGTCTTCCTCAGCAAAAGAAAAGGATTGGCAGTAGTTAGCTCAGGGTTAATCTTCCTCAAAAGAAAAAAATTCACTGTCCTACTCAGAATCACCCTCAACT